CCGTGTAGCTTTGCGCGAAATTCAAAAACAAACAAACAATCATATGACCATAAAGCAATACCAAACATAGCGTTAGTAAACAGACTTTTATTCAACTGAGGAAGAATAATCCCCGAGTTCTGAGGAAAAGATCAACGAATGAGCATGGAAATCACTATGAAATTATTCGAAAAATGGAAGAACGGCATAAAACTTTATTTCTTGTTACTATAATATTGCCCGTCTTATCTATTATTTACCTTCTTAGTGTTAATTTATTTAGGTATCCCACTCGATTTAGAGTTACAAAGCCAGTGCTTCACATAGCTCAAAACATTTGTCATTCCTAGCACTAGACCTGTAATGATTTGCTAAATAGGTATTCACAAAAGATTAAACCTAGTGATTACAGAAATACATTACCAACGTGTGGCGGCTGAATGAAATTAATAATTTGATTGTTATGATGTAAAGGTATCACAGCAAACTTTAAAGTATTAAAATTATTTGAAAATAAATAACTCATTGTATCAGAAAATTTCAAATAAAATTAAACAGTTAGTGTGAAAAAATCATAGTTCCTTAGATAAACATACATCACAGCATTATTATTGAAAACACTTAAAAATAATGATCATGTTTGAAACAACTGTAAAATCGTAAAATGTTCTTAAAAAAGAAACTTTAAATTAAAATAAACAGTATGTTTATAAGACATACATATTTCATTGCATTATTTAAATTTTGTTTGTTTAGTAATAAACTTTCGATCAGAGTAAGCTGCCTACTCGGAGCAAAACTAAGATTAAACTAGGTATCATGTATAGCTTACGTTCTTACTTGTACACATTATAATACATTGATTGTTTCACGTCTGGCCTGCTTTATTTAAGCAAAGAAAATACGAAAATTGAACAGTTTTCTGCACCTAGTAGTCAATACAAACTACTGATGTGACAAATATCTATCGGATATTACTTACATAGTGAATCGGTTAATCAGACAACATTCCTTCAACCGAGTTTCTCACAATATTATGCAGATGTAATACTACTTGGATATGCATTAAACGCAATCGGTACCACGTAGTCTACAGGCGTTTTCTCCTAGCTTCTAAACATTGCAGAAATTTTCCCAGGAAGCCCAGGTAATTTTAATACAGAAGGCATTACGTATTTCAAATAAATCGTGCCCACCCGTTGTGCTGCTACTAATTGTCACAGTAAGTAAGTATGGAGAGGGGGGTAGCAATTAGAAACCACCGTCTTTTACCGCCACGTGCTGCATTCTCGTAAGGGGTCTGCAGTAGCCTCTCACTCATAGAGAAGTGTGAATTTTTTATTCAGTTTTCAAAAAAAAAAAATGACGAAGTAACTAGTTTAATACTGTGCTATAATGAAGTGGTAGCCAATGCACGTGGTAGATTTTCAATATGTATTTCCACAATCATTTACTGTTCTATCCGAAGCTATTAGGTTCTGACTGGATACCAAAATCCGGATACTTAAAATCAATATCTGACCTAAATACTGTTTGTACCATACCTAATACCAAGCATATGATTGTTTCACTTTTTGAAAAGCTTAAAATTGAGCTAAGTCACGTTTCAGTAAACAATAGTTGTTTTGTTTTAGTAAAAGTTATCCATTTTATTCTCTAAAGTACATAGGTTTGATTACGTTACAGAAAAATGGGTTTGAATATGAAAGTCAGCTTGTTACGTGACAACCATATCCGCTACAAAGTTGCAGTTGAAAGCCATATATCATAACAAAAATTTGACACCGTTTGGAGTTTCTCTTGCAATCGCTTTAGAAATACTTGAGGATTTGAGTGTATGAATATTTTGCGTCGGAAACGGCTGTTACATACCCTTCCAAAATGCGATGGACTTTTTGTTGGATCGCTTTTTATAGCGCTGAAAATCGGGTTTCAATACCCGCGGTGGTTAAAACACAAATAGCCCATTATACAGCTTTGTGCTCAAAATTAAGCAAAAACTTATCCGTTGTACTTAATGGAATTGTAATGTGGTTCAACTTGGAACATCAGGACCATCCAGAAAGAAGTCTGCAACAAGTTTTACCCCATCAGTGGTAAGCAAGTGTGCAATGTCTTGAAATACTTGAGAACCCACGATCACACATGCCAATGACAAAAGCTGTCCACGTTCCCTAAGCAACAGTTCGCAACCTAATCAAGAAAGATTTCCATCTGGTAACGAGGCTACCAGGTTATGGGTTCACTAAGATAAGGCAGTCAGTTATATTTGGGCTCAACCGTCGCTTTCCTCAAGCAGATGGAGGATGGGTATGCTTGACATTCCATACGAAGACATACAGATCAAGTCTCCTGACGCAGTACTTATGGATTTCTGTGTGATCAGACTCTTCAAACAGGTGATGGAAAGCGGTTTTCCTTGTATGCATTATGTAAAGATTGCAGGAAGGAGTGTCATGATCTGGACATGACAGCTTTACGATGTAGTCTTTTTTGAAATGGGAATTACTTTTCAGGGCTATTGTCAAGGTGTCCACGACATTGAGTGTTACGAGATGGCGAGGCTACAAAATCGTTTTAATATAATGTACTTAACACCTGTATAGGCACTAAAATTACCAACTGTTATTTTCAGAAAAGATAGAAGGAAACCATTTTTATCGAATATATTTTTTTAAATAATAACGATTTATACAACTTACCCCACGTTCGCTATAGTTAAATATTCATTTTCTGTTAACAACCCACTATCTAATCCGTGCACTAGCTCGTAATCAGTAGGTTTGTCCTCGGTAGTTATTGGTCGAGCCTATGGAGGTGATAAAACAAACCTTAAACCCCTTTAGAAATTATGATAAATCTTGAATTCATGCTAGAATTATAAAGTCCATTATTGATAAATCTTGAATTGGTTCTCAACAACAAAAATTTAAAAGTATGCTACATGCTTCAGTAAAGTAGTTCAGGTTATCAATTGGTCGTCAAAATATCTTATGATGTTAAGGCACGATTAATATTATGCTTAATTTCTTATGAATATTCTATTTACATTCGAGTTATTTTGAGAATATGATTGTAAACTTAGATCGAGTTATTCAGATTATGTAATTTTATACTAAGTTTTTATACTACATTAGAATTACGTTTGTTTGTTTGCTCTGTTGTCATAGTGTTGAGCAGATAGTACATAGTAGGCCTATTCGATATTGCCTAACAGATATGTTAGGTAGTAAACCAGTATGGAAGATGGCCAAATAGAACAACTCTCTTAGGCCAAAGCACTGTTAAAAATAGACCCAAGTTCAGTGTCTTAAAATTATATTAAATAATATTTGAAATTATAAATCATAGTATATTTAAAACATAAAAAAGCATCTGAAGCCTTTCTAGCTTTTGTTCTCAAGCGTTATAGCTATAAAGATACTAATATTCTTCTCAATTTCTGTTGAGGATGTACAAGTATATTTTATGTCTTCAAATAAAGATTTTTCCAAACAAAAACATATGACAAGAATCAAAAAATGTAATGTTCTCAAATGTCATTTGACTTCACTAAAAATGAATTAGTATTCACACAAAATAAAAAAAACATAATACAATTAAAATTTATTTTCAGTTTCGTTTTAAGTTCATGAGCCAAAGATGAAGGTTCATAAGCTTCTTTATTCGTTTTGCAAGTACTTTCAGAGATTCAGTTTGTTTAGAGTGATCTACTTTTAAATAAATATATTTTACTTTCAAATCTTAAAGATGTATTTATTGAAAAGTTTTTAAAAAGGACTAATACAGAAACAATATACAATCTTTCTTCTCTACTTAATCATTAGATTATAACTGCTGTTTCCAATCACTCTGTACTTCTATTGTAATCCGCTTTAGATTTTGAATTTAGTTTTGTTTGTTTATTTGTTTTACAGCAAAGCCAAATTGGGCTACTTGCTGTGTCCACCACGGTGAATCGAACCTCCGGATTTCAGCGTTGTAAGTCCGTTAACTTACCGCTGTCCCACCGGGATACATTAAGATTGAAATGTTCTTAGTGTTATTACATAAAACTACTGTTTAACTACAAAAATATCTATATATGAGGTATTTTACAACATTTGTAATTAATATTTTTTTACTCTCTTACAAGCTTTTTTTACAAAATTTTGTTTGTTTGTTTGTTTTGAATTTCGCGCAAAGCTACACGAGGGGTTATCTGCGCTAGTCGTCCCTAATTTAGCAGTGTAAGACTAGAGGGAAGGCAGCTAGTCATCACCACCCACCGCCAACTCTTGGGCTACTCTTTTACCAACGAATAGTGGGATTGACCGTCACATTATAACACCCCCACGGCTGAAAGGGCGAGCGTGTTTGGTGGGACGGGGATTCGAACCCGCGACCCGCAGACTGCGAGTCGAGTGCCATAACCACCTAGCCATGCCGGGCCTACAAAATTTTGAGTTTTATTGTAAAAACGTCATTCGAGTTATTAAGTTAATGCAATAAGAATGTGAGCCGCAAGAAAAGTTTATGAAGTCATGTTTTGCTCTCACCTGTAGGAGAAAATTTTTGCCGTTATTGATTGCCCATTCAATGTCACGTGCAGACCCAAATGCCGACTCCACCTAGATATTACACACGTAATTTAAAAAAGAAAAAGTTAGTACTTTTTCTCAAACCGACCATTCAAACTTAAACGTTTCTTGCAAATAAGAAAATGACCTTTTTTTGTTTAAAAAAAAAGACGTCGACGTAACGCTTGAAAAGGGTATAGATTACGTATAACACTTAACGATTTCAGTTTAATAGTAAATAACTTACCATAGAATTACGTTATAATTTTCTTCCAAAAATAACCATTTATTTTTCTACTCTAAGTTCGACAGTGAACGATAACAATACCTTTAAATAAATTAATATTTTCACAGTATGATTTTATTTCAAAACTTTCAAAATAGTTTCAGTTTAACGTTCAAGAAATAATTAAGAGTATAAATTAGAAACTAAATCACCAAAATACAAACTAAGCCAGCCAGTTTGTATTTTTCGAATTTTAAATATATTTTTTTAATTTGGGGGGCACATATTTGAGATTTTAATAATGAATGGAGTCAGGCCAATATTTTTCTATTATAGTACAAGAAATTGTATTTACCTATAGTAATATATAAGATGTTCATTCGTTAATATATAGTGTTAAACTCACCAAGATACCGACTTTACCAAGTGACTCCACTTCTTCCTTTGAAAGACACCAAGCACTTGATACTTGCTCTCTTACTGTCTCTTCCTTAGTTCCACCCTCATCTGAACATAAATTACGAACTTACAAGTTTAGGAAAACGACAACATTTCACCGAAAGAAGAAAGACTTTATGTTATGTAATATTTGAGATCATGCTACTTAAGAAAACCTACACCATAAATGATTGAAACATTTATCTTCAATAACTATCATTCTTTAGCCAGCCAGCCAAGCTCGTAACAGAAAAAAAAAATCGCATCTCAATTCATTTACTCCGTATACCCTCCAGCAATACACGAACTGCTTGTACGCCATTATGTCATTACGAAAATTATTATAAGGCTGAAGAAGCATTCATACTTCATTCACCATACAAGTTTATATAGGTGAATATTTTAAAATGCATAGGGTGAGGGGAAAAAAATAGCTGAACACAACAGTTACGAGCAATATCAGCTTTTCACTGTCCTGCTAAATCAGTGACACAGAAAATCACCCAGTGACTTTAATAACGAAAATATATCTAGTGTCGTTTTGTAAATACAATGAAACTTACATTAAGT